AGAAATCAATGAACAGACACTTACCGCTACTGATTTTAATTTATCGACCTTTCCATTCTATCTTTTATTTGGCTTTGAGATGCTGTTCTTCAATCAAGGGTATCACGAAGAAATACCATTATCATAGGCCCTCACTTCCATTCCACTGTCCTGATTGCTTCTGAAACAGTGTCAAATGACAAAATTAATTTTGTTTCAAGGCAAAGAGAACTTAACACCAAAATGAGAAAAAGATGTTTATAAGGTCGGTCCAACTTTAAAAAGGCATTTTTGAGGTCCATCATTTGTGAAATACTTTTGGCGATTACGATACTGTCTACAAAAGTGGATACATTCATCTAAAAGAGCGTTTAATAATAAAATATGAGACAGCAGAAAACCTCGGCACTCAGATCAAGTTGCTCGACAAAACTACAAGCATCATCATTATTACCGACATCATCAAGTGACCAGAAGCAGCGAAGCCACTGTTACAGGGTGTGTCTTTGTCACTGACACAACAAGCCACAGCGCACTCTTTGATCTTCATTATCTTCTTCATGTCATCATTTGTGGACAAGTTCTTCATATGATCGCACTCCATCTTCTGGAGGCATCCTCTAGTCTCCACTTCATTATTGTCTTCCATCTTGTCGTGCATCTTGCTACAGGTGTAATTGGTAGGACAGTCAACCTCGGTTTGGTCTTTTTTGCATTGATCGATGGAGTAAGAATCCCCGACTCTCTTTGAAGCACAAATGGAACACTTGAAGGAATAAGCTTCAAAAGAGAAATGCATTAGAGCCTCATTGTTAGAGGTTTAGCTTTTCTCTTTAACATTACGTTCAAATAATCAAACAATCAAATATAAGGGAGGAGCTTAGAGCACTCTTAGATGTAAAGTTTGAATTTTTACAATCTTGGCAGAAAAGATTTTGTTTTGATAAACTTGTCATTATACAGTATTAATTAAAAGTGATGACATTAAGCTGGCTTTCGAGTTTTGTTTTTTGCGCTTAAATTCGAGTCCTTCAGACTCTTTGGCCAGTGGCCGGTGGATTGGAGGACCTACAGAACTGTAGGGAATTTTCATCCAAGAAAAAATATCAATAACTAAACGAAACAAATAATATTAACTAAAAAATCAATCAACACATAAAACCTGCACCTCTCAAACATACACTGAACTAGTGTTCGTTGTCAGGGATTACGGTAACCTCGTAATGAGTAGAACTGCTCTTTTGACAAGAGTTCGGTAGGAGAAAAAAATAAAAATAATAAAAAAAAGGGAATGAGAAAAAATCGGGCGAAACTAAACGAATTTCAGCGTTTTAACATGCCTTGACTCGAGCACATTTACTTAGAACTGAAATAAATCAAGTGCATATCATTGTTTACTTTTAATGGAAACGTCAAAAGGAACGGAAAAGCTAGCCCCCCCAAAATTAAGGAGTTATAGGGAATTTTAAAGCTAGTGAATGTGACAAGTAAAGACTGATCAAGATTCTGAACAAACATGGTGTTATTTTTAGCCACCGGCAAATGATATGTTAGACTGAAACATTTTGTTTGCAATAAAGTAAAAATTGGATTAACAGCATGAAAAAAAAAAAAAAACAACAACAACAACAAAAACTACCACAACAACAAAAAAACAATTCTTTAATTATAAAAAGACATTAGAATTATATTAACCACTTCCCTTTCGGTTGAAATCACATAGCCTTATTCCCCTCGCACTTAGTAATTTGCGATTAGTCTCGCATAATTTGCTCAGAGCAGTTCAGTTTCTCAGTGCAGTCAAACGTAGACGCGAATCTGTACTTGGAAGAACAGTCGATGTGGTGGCATCACAAGATTGAAAAGCAGGTAGGTTTGTGGTATAGATTTTATCAGTATTATTCAAAAGTCAGTAACAGATACTCTTAGAAATCATGGTTAATGGATAGCGACTTTCTACAAGAACGGCAAAAAAAATCGATGTGATCTCAGTTACGCAACAGCCAACAATAATTACGCTTCGACTGGAATTAGATGATGGTTGCTAAGACGGTTTCTGTTCGTTTTCCGTTGCAATATAAATATGAATATCTAGGCACAGACTTCCATCAGAAAACATTGACTTTGAAAAGTACAATTTTCACTGTAAGATACTGATATCTTCAATCAAAATTCAAGTCATCCTGACGGTTGATTTAAGAAAAGGAGCAAGTGAAACTTTCGTGCGCAGAAGTTTCTGAAACAAGAAAAAATGCTGGTACTGTGCAATAAGAGAACGGCCTTGAGGATTTGGTTATACAAAAACAAAAAAAAAAGAAGGATAGAAAAACTAAATTTACCTGTGCATATTGTTGCACCCAGAGCAATTAAAATGAAATAAAATTTCTCCATGGCATCTTGAAAGTCAGATCCGCTCTTCGCAAATGATCTTTAACTGAACGCGGTGCGACAGCAACTGCTCTCTACTAATTATCAATGAAGTCATTATTCGTGTATTTCTATAAATTAAAACTAACAAGGTGCAAAATATTTTCATTGGAAGGATTGATTAACCACGAGAGGTTGGCTACAAAAGAGGAAGGCCTTTCAACTAAAACTTCTAATAAGCATTTCCAAGTGGTGTAAAAAATGATAAAGTGAGTATGTATACAATATTTGGATAGCATTAGATATTAAGAAAAGAAGACAAAGGCGGCGATAAAAAAAACTTTAGTTCATTTTTCAATTTTAAAAGAAAATTAATTTTCGAGGAATTGATTAACTGAAAGCTGAAATTTGCTTCAGCCCGGAAGGTGTATCGATTTGTACAAGAAAACAAAGAGAAACTTTTCGTGTCGATCTGTCAATGCGCTCCAAGTTCTTCATAACATGCTATTCAACAATTGTGTTGTGGTCATAACAGAACTGTCACAAAGGATTAGATCTTTTTCTCAGGTCAGTTATTAAAGCTTCTTTGCTTTTCAATCAAGAATGCTTTGAGGACAACATCAAGTAGAGTCTGCATACGAGGCTTGTCCCGATCTCTATGATAAAAAGCGACTCAGAGCCGATAGCAAATGGTAGATAACACTTACTTAAAAAGCAGACATTAATACTATTTTTCTCAGTTGCCTGTAAAAATTCGATCAGGATTAAATTCAGTTCATAGCTCCAAGATGACCAAAAGGTTCAATAAGGACCAATAAAGGTTCAATAAGGATCAATAAAGATTTTGGCTTAAGAAGATGGTCTCAATGGGGTCAACCGTTAGCCATTGTACGGCTGAAAAACATTAACCGTTCGGTGTAAAAATTGTCAAATTTTAACCGGCAGTTGTAAAAAAATTTAACGGTAAAAATGCCTTCCTTTCCTTTAGCCGTAAAATGGCCAAATTTTTTGCCGTTAGCCATCAAAGCCATCACCCCATTGAGACCCTCTAAGAACACTCAGTAAAATGATTTAAGAGACTTGTTGGTCTTGTATATGGCCCGACCGGTATGCAAATAAGAAACACGCCTAGAGTGCTTTATTCTAAGTTCCCTTTATTTTTATTTGTTGTCGTCTTCTAGAACAACCGTGGCTCAACTATAAAGATGAGGCCTTTTTGAAATAGTTTTGATTCTTTCAGTACTGTGGAGAACAATATCATTGAAATAAACTTTACAATAAAGATTTCGATAATAAATGCTTTTTCGATCGATATACTTGGTTTGGCTTATGCTCAGCATTTTTACTTTCGTTCAGATATGAATCGTGTCAAAATGTTGGGTTACTTCTGAAATCAATAATCTATCGTCATCGTTTAAAAATAAAGACGTTTGCAAGGGAAATTTTCAGTGACATAAGTTTGGGCTTTAGTTAGTTTGAACTAGGGGGTTCACAAGCCGAAGGAATGGAGTACATTTTTTTGTTTTTCCTAAAGTATTTAAAAGCTTGATGCCACTGCACAACATTCCCTTTACCAGCGTCGCACTTTTTTAGATTCTGAGCGATTTCTTGTCTAGTTAGAACTCGATCCCACACATCGAAGCCTGTGATCCTCATCCTCGTGTCACCAACCGCTAGTGATCCCCCTCCTTGGAGTTCACCTCTTTGTCGGTTGATCGCTGATAAAATGTTCTTTCCGTCGAAATAATATTGGATTACTCCTGAAAAACCAGACCAAGTCACACAAAATTGATGCCAGTGCAAGTCCTCCAACTGACTTAAGTTCAATCTGCATTTAATAAATACGTGAAAATTAGTGAAACATGGTTTTCGGTGTTCTACAGAAGCTTCATTCTTAAATTAGAGTCAATGCACTGAATCGTAAACGAGATACTCTAGTCCTAAAGCCAAAATCTTGAGAAAAATCCGGAAAACATCGTACAATTGAGTTTTCTTTTGCCACACGCATGCGAAAATAATGGATATCAACTTTCATTAATGTATGTTTAGTTATTCTTTACCGTTGACGATCTGCTGGTTTCTTTCCATCTGGACTGATTTCCATCCTGAAAAGAATCCCTCCGTCACCAAGCGGCTGAATAAATGATAATATTGAGCTCCGACTCCCTCCATGAAATTTATGGAAGTAGCCTGGTCGTCTCACAAAGTTTTTGTCAAGCTTCATCCAGTGGCAAATTGTAACTTCTGGTAGGAATGGCAGGTTGTCAAACACAAGCGTGCCTTTAACGTCAAACGTGGCTGCGTAATTTTCATTAAAAGAGCACTGTTAGTAAATTATCATTAGATTTTCGCTAAATGAAATTTCGGTTTACCAACTCAATGGAACAAAAAAAAGGGGATTGCTTCAGGAGATTTTGAACGCAGATAAAAACAGAGAGGTGCTTTTCTCTGCAACCTTGGAGGTCTCGAATTCTGCCTTATCTAGTTGTATTATTGAGCGTGTTTCAGTCACAAAGATGAGTTACCAATCCCTGAATTAAAAAGAGAATGTCATGTTTTATGACAGCATACGCTTTTAATGGAAAATGATCAGTTACTTACGAACGCATTTCTTGTCTTTCGTTAGCATTTTGTTGTCTGGACATGCGGGTATGCATTTATTTCTCTCCACGTCCAGAGCAGTTCTACAAGCTTTACACCCATTAGGAAATTGGGCGCTATCAGGTAACTCGCAACCTGCAACCACATGAGGGAGCTTTGTTATTTGTTAAGATATCCAACAAGTGTTACAACATGTAAACTCTCTACTAACAGATGATCATTCAGTTCAGGGGATGTGGGTGGTAACCACTTGCTTGAAGTATAATAATGGCACTTAACGTAGCAAAATCGGATTGTGGACTCAATTGCAAAAGCAAGTCTTCTTGTGCAGGTATCGAGGACGGCTGGACGGGAAAAAATTTGGCTCGAAGTCATGATGTTAGGACTTAGCGCAGTGAGGTTCTTGCATCAAGATTGAGAGTCAAAATTTAATCCGTCTAGCCCGATCAAACTCAGTTAATAAGCTTTTTACCATATGACCAATGACTATTGAAAATTTTGAAAATTTGTTTCAACCCTCAGGACGTGATAGACGGGCGCACACGAGACAAAAACCAAAGAGATTACTACCACAAAAACCTTTCTTTTATCCTGCTCACGCCATTTCGTCCGATTCCTACACGTGTCGGCTCCTACAACATCGCACACGCGGGGCTAGATGGGTCATATGATGATCACTATACAGAGGTACTTAGTGTAGAAGCGTGCTGCAAGCACGTTTCTTTTACCTTCTTTCTTTCGTTTCAAGTCTAACGGTACGAACACTGATTAGCACACAGACCCCGCAATAAACTATTTATTAGCTGGAATGCATGTTTTTTTTTTTACAGTTTCTCACGTCAGGCAAATTGTAATCTAATCCAGAATTAATGAAAATTGATAAACCGTGTTTGAATTCGTATATCTAAAAGTATATCGACAGATAAACTGAATCTCAGTACGATGGAGAGGAAAAAATAGCTGGAACAATAAAGAATATTTCCAAGCAGATCTAAAACAACTTTCCACGTTTGATTATAGGTCTCACCAGCCAAGGGATCGCAATCCTTATGACACTTCTGAACGCAAAGGTTTGTCTCCAAATCTTTGACTGTTTTTCCTTTACATTCTGCTTTCGTCAAATGGCGAGACCCGATATGAACATCCATCACCTTGGCAGGATTCTGGTCATTGCCAAACGCGTAGAAACGAGCATTTAGGTGATCCCTGCTGTCAACAAAAATCAGATAGATATCCCCACTCTCAGATGTCCCTAGACTCTTTCCATATTCAACGAGGGTGCTCTCCTCTGATTCCGTGATGCAAACAAAGTACGACTGATAAAGGGAGGCATATCCAAGTGCTCGAGCGTTGGCGTTCGTGGTTGATTTCTTTAAAATTGTACCCTAAGAAATAAAGACACCGTTGACCAGATAATTGAAGAAACGAGGCGATTTACGGACGAAATTCGTCAAATTCTAATAAGTTACATATTTTGGAAAGATTGATAAAACTTAAGGCGTTTTATGATTAAGGAGACAACGAGGACCGCTTTTTCGAACTGATTTAAAATGTGCAAGAACTCATCATCTAGGCCCGATTCTGGTTTTTTCCTACAATCAGATATGTGTTTTAATATTCTAGACTCAGCCAAAACTACTTATTTCCTTTAATCAAAGGGAGCATAGTACTTTGGCCGCTTGCAACCAAGTTGAAAGCACGGATGCAGCATTATTGCCATGATTTTTTCACATAGATTAACCGTTTCAAAGTGGCCGCTTGCAACCAAGTTGAAAGCCCGGATGCAGCATTATTGCCATGATTTTTTCACATAGATTAACATTTCAAGAGTTACATTTGCGAGCGCTATTGTTTTCTTAAACTTTTGAAACAGTACTAATTTCAATGATTGTGATTCGATCCAAACCGTAAGTTTGAAATTTATTTTGATGCCATTTAAACAACAAAGTTGCGGTAGTGTTCTACATAATTATGTTTGTATTAACGTATTAAGGGCTAATACTGCATTTTTGTTGCTAGTTTTACCTTATAAATATACACCCCTTCAAGAGAAATTTCCACCAAATAACGCGACTCTGGTTCCTTGGGCAGAGCTGCAAATATAACAAATAATGTTCCTGCTGTTGATGCAGTAAAGTGCAAGCATTTACCCTCGGTGTCCGTGGGGTCAAATCGGAGTGCATTTGACCATTTCTCTTGACATAGTTGGATTGCCCTTGAAGGCTGCCTTGATGTAGATCGTTTGTCCGAACTTGTAGATGATATGTACACACGGGCTAACTGAGTTCCAACCATGTCTTCCGCTAAAGTGGGAAAGAACCTTTTCGATACCTTAAAATCGCTGGGGTCCAGAACAAGGCTGTTATCGACTTCATTAAACGTTAGCACAAGACCAAAAATAGAAATTTTTCTCAGAGAAACATTGTTGGTGTTCCTGTTACCGTATGCACCGTACAGATGAAAGGAACCATCGTTATCACTTGTATACCATTTCTTTTCATAGAATTTTACAAGGCGGGTCATATTATGACCAATGTTGAAAGTTGAACGTTGAGCATTGGGTAGATCATCTACCATGTCAAAGGAAACCTTCAAAACTGTGCTGTCTTTAATAATATCCGCCCAACTTAGAGGCTCACGGGTAGTTAAAAAAGGACTCTGGTGATTATCCTTGAATGTTTGGTCGCTATGTGGTGTACAGGCATTCAACTCGATGTCGGAGATAGACATTGCACCCTTAAATAAAAGAAGATCAGATTCATTTCAACGAAAAGTAATACCTATATAGTTTGCTATCCAACAGTCATTCCTATCGTTCCTGTTCTTGTAACCTGGTCAAAATTTCAAGATCTTATCAGACTTGAATCAATCAGTTTCCAATTAGGACGTTTATCATTACGCCAAATAGATACCCATTTAAGAATAAGAAGAATATACCATCGATAGCCTCTATTTGGCGCGAAAATATGCATCGATATTTGTCCGCGGACGTTCTCTGTTCCGAGATGCGAACAGCTATCCGAGAGCGAAGCTTGAGGAAACTTTGAGTTTGGAGGAACAGATATTCTAGCACATTTTTACGCCAAAAAGAGGCTTTATTTCGTTTATTATCTTTCAGATATTTTGCAACGCGTGGATGAAACTTTTTACTGCCTGTGGTACGTTTACTTTTCAGTGCTCAGTGATATAACTTCATGAACAAACAAACATCTTCCTTTTCTGTAACAATAACTAGACGCTCTCTTATCTTGAATTGACTCTAAAATGAACCTTTTCATCGTAATAGACGTATGGTTTTAAAATGTGGTAACATCACTTGGGGTATATCCTCGGATACTCCCCGGTTTTAGTTGGGGCATATTCGATCGCGTGATGAGTTTAGACCAGTCTCGCGCGAGCAAAATTATTGGATGAATTATAGACCAAATTATAATACCTCTTCCATGTATATCTCAATTGCCCTTTTCAAGCTCAACCTTCGTCTTTGTACAGCATTTTCCACTGCTTGGCGACTGTCAAACTCACAATAATATCGCCTCGTTCCATGATCATCTTCTACTTCGTAATATTTTATGGTTTCGCCTCCTTTCTCTTCCGTCTGTAAGTGCGCAGCATTTCCTTCACAACCCCAATCTACCGAATCATCTTGGAATAAATCATTAGCCCTGAAATCGAGGAGGTCGGTGATAGATCCTATTTGGAAACGGAAGGCCTTCGGATAGTCTGGAATTGTCTTGAGCCATTCTTTGAATTCTGTTTTAAAAGTTGGCGAGTACACGTCCGATAAAATGGACGCAATATGCTGGCTGCCTCCTTGGGCCACCACTGAGGTTGATGTGGTCTTTGTCTGTTTCCTGCTGCTCTCACCTGTCTCGAAAGAAGCACCGGCGCCAACACTTGCAAACAAATTCTTAAACTCCATTTCCATTTGAATTTCAAATTCCTTTCTGCTTTTAGCCTCTTCAGCATCCATCGTTTTGCGTATCTCCAACTGGCCGCCAAACTTTGCAGATTTGACAAAATGTGTTCCCCAGCGTTGAATAAAGTTTTCTAGAAAACCAAAGATACGTTAATGTAATTGATGCAGATTTGAAACTCAGTTTTCAAAAAGAAGCTGAAGCGGAGAGCTCCAAGACTACCTCCAAGGACATAAATAGAGAAAAACAACCTAATTGAAATCTTATTATTTTCTGGACCTTCGGCGTAAAAAATATTGCCTAATAACATGTTGATCAAAGTCAGGTTACACATTTTTTGACGATGAGCTTAGGATCGACATCTCCTCTACGTGTCAAGGTATGATACTTAACGATATTTAAGAGGTCCTCCTGCCGAGAAGTAGGAAGTTGGTAAGTTCATGAATTCTCGTAGAAATGACATGCTAAGATCTTGTGGCTTAACCTCATCCAGAAATATTTCATATCTGCGAAGAAAAATTAAATTACGTGTTTGTTATACACAAATATCCCGACATTACCCAAGTTGAATGAGTTGGTTGAGTTGGAAATGCAAAACAATCATTACATCATAATAAAAGGAAGTACCATTATGATTCCCATCACCCATAGCGTTACCTACCATGACACGAATATCATCATCACCTTCGTTCCCATGGCTAAGTTAAGTTCCCGCTCCCTAACGTTGTCTTCAACTGACAATTACCTGTCAACATCAACGTCCATCATTGCCAAGTACTTCTGGCGAGCGGTTGCTGTGGACTCTCCCCAGGCTTCTTTCACTCCTGCAGAGAAACCGTAGTACGAGCCAGATACGCCTGCCTGTTGTTGAATGTGCTTCCGATATTCCTCGCGACTTTCAAACGTCATTAACGAGGCGGACGTGTCATAGATACCGTGAACGTTCATGGTATCCGGAACATCCAGGCCATCGTACCTAAAATAGAAGTGAAATTGAACCTGAGCACGATGACTCAATTAATACCTATTCAATTAATTTCTTAATATAATCAAAGGTAAATTGATACGGATGAAATATAATTTCGATGGATCAGAAAAATTGCGGCAAAGGTGATGGAAATGTGGGAAGTAATAGCTGCAATATGTAATGTCTGAAACAATCAACTGCCAGCGATCTTGAGAGAAATAAGGAGAAACACTTTCATCAATCCGGTGATGCCCTGTCCAAAAGATATGAAATAGTGAAAGATAATATTAATCACTGAATGACACAGCCATACTCGTCGATCCTCCGATAATTAGTGCTATGTGACTCGAGGCAGGCTGGGCTTAACTAGGTCCATAGTGAAAAACTTTCAGCAGACGGCTAGTGGTAGGAATAAAAATAAACGGTGCGGTTCTGATCATAAGCATCTGTAAAGAATTGTGACAATTCTTTAATAATGAAATTTCTGACATTTTGTTAAACCACGGTGCTCGGTGTTTCAAACATTTAGCAAACTTACGTGGCTTTGTTTGCGCAGTTTCTTTGAACGATGCTGATTTTTCTGGATTCTGGGCTGTATTTTCCTCTCCCGTCAAAACCAACTCCCATAAACGCTGCACCATCGATCATGTTCTGTCCCAGTCAGCATTACGAATCGTAAATCGTTAAAAATTTACTTCAAGAATGGAACAATCTTAATTACGGTGAGAACTGAACTTATACAAATAGTACAATACAATACAATTTCTCTTCGAGTGTTTAACATGATAGCTCACGAGTGAGATATCGCGTTGAACACTCGAAGAGAAATTCCATATCTACCCCATGTCTTATTGGGTTATTCTATAAGCATAAAAGCCCTTCACTGACAAGAAAAGTCAACTTAATGAATGAAAAAAGTTGTAAAGTGCGTTGGCGATAAGGCTTCAGATGAAAAATGCGTTGAATCATTACGAAAACAAACAATGTGCGTAATTTCAATTCACAAAATTCTCAGTTATGAACTTTTTCCTCCCCGACAGAAGGAATCTTTTCAGGTACACGGCCAAATTCGGCTGGGGATATATCATCTAGTTGTCTCTTTCGTCCTCAGCCGCGAGAAATGCAACTACCAAATTAAAGCCACTAAGTACGTAACTCACGGTTTTTCTTTTCGTATTTTGGTTTTCTTCCCTCTCTAGGAAGTTTTGAACGTCACTATCTGTAGGCGATGTGGATTTTTCAGTGTTTTAGCAGCCACACTCCACACTTTAAGGTTAAGGCTTTGCATGACGGAGTAGCGCGAAAGACGAGTGACCTGTCCGCAACTGATTGGCTATTTTAAACACACGTGAAATATTGTCGTATTTTTTCACGTGTATTGATACGACTTTTCTTAGGGCTGGAAATCCTTATATAACACTGCAGTTTA